TTCTTTAGGTATGGAATGTGAGCTGTTCCTTTCATATATTAGTCGTGTGTGTGTGTGTGTGTGTGTGTGTGTGTGTTTGTGTATGTGCGTATGTGTGTGCGTGTGTGTTTGTGTATATGTGAGGGAAAGGGTGGGTAGTATTCATTAAGGTAATAATTATGCTAGTAGTAGACATCATTTAATGATGTAATGTCCTCCAGACCGAATTTTAGTCACGGCGGCAAGCCTCAGGGAAGACTACCCACCGCCACAGGGCAGTATTATAATGCCCAAGTTTTACATGATTTTTTAACTTTACTACCACTTTATTATAATATTTTAAATATAACCTACTTTTCACTATTTTATTCGCACGTCCCATTGTACCCTGTGTTTGCAAACAATAGATCATTTATAAGTTAAGAGTTATTTCGTATGCTGGCGGTCAGAAGTGGCGTGAGCAATAATTTATTTCAGTACTTCGTCTGGGGAACGAAGCAAGTGCATCTATTATTCGATAACTGCAAAACTCACGAAAACGTGCTATTGCATCCGAAAATGTTTTCTAACTAGAGGGTTTGCTTTTGAATAGAGCTTTTATAAATTATTGTGTATAGTCTATTCCTCCGATCTCCCTCTGAAAATTTGCATTGATACTTATTGTGTGTGATATGCAATAAGTGTGACGCTAAGATAACTTTTGTAAATATTTAATTTAATTAAAATAATTTATTAATTAGTTACAAAAAATATAATTTAAAAACCATATTCGATTTGGAGACATGCAATAATTTTATAAATACATAACATTATCGTTCGAAAACAATCTAGCAACAAAAGTGACATTTATTACTAAAAATCTCAATGATATAACCTAATTAAAATATTTTATGTATCACATAATTTGAACATTTTGTGTCTATTTAAATATAATCAACGTTAGGCCAAAATTTGCAATTTTTTTTCTACTTTACCAACATAACATCATACGAAATATAGAGGACGTTATTTACAATTTTATCTATATTTAATTTCAATTTACGAAAAATATTATGAAATATGAAAATTTGTATCATAGAAATGTATATTTAAATAACTATAATATTTGTAAAAGGCAAAAACTTTTTTACGTTATTTTACAATACTACACAAAAAGCCAATTTTCAAAATGTGTTATTTCACTAAAGTTCTCTGCATATGTTTTCAGTTTTAAGATACGACTTTGGACAATATGACTAGATGTATAGCTGGAACACTTGGAATATCGCCCGGTACGTAGGTATTCAGGGTGATGCCTGTAACGAAATATGTATTATTTTTCTTTTGTGACATTTACTTTTACATTCATATTTGGGATATTCACAGAATACCAGCGTAAAAGAGCTGCTGTGTTTCGAATGGGGAGTGTAGATAATCGCAGGCCCTTTTTACTGCATACAGAGCATTCAGTATTGTGTCTTTTGTTTTTCTTCAGTATTTCTTCCATACCTTTGGATTGACGAGATCGCAAAAGTAAAAAAAGAATGATTTAATACGGTATAATAACTTTTCTTACCTTAAACAATTTTCTATAATGTTTTCATTTGACTGCCAGTAACGACTGAGCTAAAGCTGGTAGCAAAACCAATGCTGTAACTGTACACGTGCTTGTTCCTGAAAATTAAACAAATTATATAAAAAAAAAACAATTTAACATCAACATAGAATAATCGTACGTTCTGGTTTAACTTGTTAGTTTACAAACTTTTCTAAGCAACAGTTACTACAAATTTACTACAAAGGTTACAATATATACGTTATTTATTACGTGGTAGAGCCACGCTTCAGTTTTATTCACAGATTACCTCCTAATAGATTCCGCATACAGTACCACAAACGCGCGCAACACATACTTGCTGTAGCTAGCATATGAAGTAACGCTAAAGCGGGCTACATACGAGACGATATCGGCGGCGATCTGGGGTGGAAAGAAATCGGGGCAGACCCTACACACGGGCCTGCCTAGCAGTACGCGTTCGGACTTGGAGCGGAACGCATATGCGGTAGAGTTCTTCAAAATGCCTCCGACTGTCTTAAAACACCAACGTGTTGGATTGGCATTAGCCATCTCGGTTAATTTATTCGAAAATAGAAAAAGAGGAGTTGCTGGGTGAAAAAATTGCTCTAAAAGAGACAAAAAGTAAGCCACATAAACGTACTAAATGGTCTGTAATCCAAAGACATGATTAATTTTCTCCGGATGGATGAAGACAGTTTTTACAACCTTCTAGAATTTTTCTATATTTATGATTTCGGAACTTATACAAAAACATCAATTTCTCCTACCTATGCTATATAGTTATTTCTTATCTTTGTTCATTTCTGCTTTGGTCAAAATCGGGTTATTTACTACACACAACAAACAAAGAAATAAAATACTTTTGTATAATAATATGTATACTTTTTTTAATGTAATCTTTATTTATGGATTAAAACTATCAAAAAAAAAAAATAGCTTATATCTTTTTTTTAAACACAAAGAAACCTTTAATTTCGGACATACTCCCTTCTATATAGCTTGTTTGTTGATGTGGAGATGGTGAAGGAGTAGGAGTTAGTTGTTGATGAGAGGATGAAGGCACGTAAGAGATATGAGTGCAGTCTGCGTGATGATAGCGTTGGAATGGGAGTTAGTTGTTGAGAGACTTTATCCTCCCCTTAGTTACTTCATACACCCTACTTTATGAACGGCAATAACACAATTAGTTTAGTAGGCATTCTTGACTTCGCAAGGTCACAGGCTAGGGTGGATATGATTTGAATTTCGATAAATTTTAATTAATTTATTTATTCAATTTTTTTTTTGTTTTTTGTAAAATATCAGTGCCATAGGCTTCTACTCCGTTCACATGTTTAAAATGTAAAAATTTTGTTATGTAAAAAAAGGTCATTCAGTATCATTGTTCCGTTAACGTCCTTCGGCGAGGGCTGCCGACAGCGACTGCCAAAAGAAATCGGACCGATGCGCCTACACACACGCAGTACGGAGGGGGGCGGGGCCCCGATCTAGGAAGCATCGGCTGCATTTTTGAGCACGATCCACACCTTCTGATCCTATCCAATCCGATCCTAATTATCGGATGAAATCGGATAATGTATTGTGCAACAGGTCCCAATTTTATTATTATTATTACAAAATCGGAGAATCGGATGTTCCGACCGTTCTTTTTCTAAAATCGGATCCTAAATCGGACGGTGTAGAACCATTCGTCCGATAAAACGTCACAGTCACACACGATCAGCGTTCCAGTTCAGACGTGTACCTACTCGCGCGCATTGAAATGTCATCGGACGGGGAAAGCGATTCGGTGTCAGACCGCGAATATTTTGTTTTATTTTTGGAGTGTTATAAAGAATGTAGATGCTTATGGGACACTTCGGCAGCAGATTACTCAAATAGAGACTTGAGAACTAAGTCCTATGAAAGACTTTTAAAAGTTTTCAAACAAGTTTGTAAAAATGCAACATTAGCTGATATGAAAAAAAAATGATAATTTAAGAACAACGTACAAACGTGAATCAAAAAAGGTGAGTATTTTTTTCAAACTGGCGAGGCTAATGTTTAGGTACTCTTCATGCGTAATGTCTACTAAAAATGAAAAATACAAAGTCCGGTACTCACGTCATTAAATTATTTGTTTTAGGTTAGAGATTCCATGAAAACTGGCTCGGGAATTCAAGATATTTACTGTCCAAAGCTTTGGTACTACGAATATCTTACATTTCTTGATGAAAAAGATCTTTCACAAAGAACTGGTCAGGATAGTTTAGATGATGGTGCTGGCAGTAGTGGAAGTGTAAGTTCATTTTGAAAATAACACACAGTTTTTTTTTTAGAAAATTATTATTTTTTATTGGGGTACAACCGACAACATTTGCTCTTGAAATGAAACTACGCCTTCATTATTAAAATAACTTGTAAATAATTGTCGCACTTCAGTTCCTTGCTCATTGCGCTGATTTTTAAGTGGACGAAGAGATACTAAAGGATGTGTTTCACGCCATTCTACGTTTCTTACGGTTGTCTTTTTACGCCATTGTGCTACTTTAAATGACGCTTCGGATTCATTTTCAATATCGAGAGATGTTATATTAATGTATTTTTTATTATTTCTTGATAAATAATTATGTAATGCACAACTAGCTAAGACAATTGTGTTCACGTTATCTATATCTATGGAAATAGCACGACGAAATATTCTAAATCTAGACGATAGAATTCCGAATGCATTTTCCACCACCCTTCTAGCTCTTGAGAGCCTGTAATTAAATATTCGCTTATCGTGTGCTATGTTCTTTAGAGGAAATGGTTTCATAATGTTTTTATCAAGCGCGAATGCCCTGTCTCCTACAAAAACGTAAGGTGCAGTGATTTTTGAATTTGTTAATGTTGACGGACTTGGTAAATTTAACCCATCTTCCATCAACTTCTCATAGAATTTAGTCTTTTGCAGCACGGAACTATCTGAAACACATCCGTTTGTACCCACGTGAACGTATATAAATTCATAATTAGCGTTTACTACTGCTAACAGAATAACACTAAAAAATTTCTTATAATTATAAAAAAGTGATCCACTGTCTGGCGGCTTTTTAATTGCAATATGTTTTCCGTCGATTGCGCCTACGCAATGATTGAAATTCCATTTGCTTTCAAAGTCCGAGCTCACTTCTATCCATTCCTCTGTCGTCGATGGCATCTGAAATTAATTTCATTTTATTTTATTTGCAGATTACTGGAAATGAAACACAAAACGATGGTTTCGCAGTTCCACCCACTAAAATAAAGAAAAAAAAAAACAGGACCTCTATACGAAGCAGTCTCAAATTCTAGATCAGGCTCAAAAAATATTAAAAGGTAGTGAAGATAATGACTGGGAAGTAATCGGGAAATCCATTGGACTTCAACTCAAAGTTCTAACTGAAGAACAATCAGCCATTGCGCAAAAAATATAATATCAGATGCTCTCTTCTATGCCAAAATGAAAAAACTAACAATAAATTCTCAAATAACTTTGGAACCTACATATCTACCCTCTCCATCTCCACAACCGCACTTACCGCACAAGTCACCATCCCATCAGTACACAATCACTCCATCACCTTCTCCGTCTCCACAACCGCACCAGTCATCATCCCATCGGTACACAATCACTTCATCACCTTCTCCATCTCCACAACCGCACCAGTCATCATCCCGTCGGTACACAATCACTCCATCACCTTCTCCATGTCCACAACCTTACCAGTCATCATCCCGTCGGTACACAATAACTCCATCACCTTCTCCATCTCCACAACCGCACCAGTCATCATCCCATTGGTACACAATCATTCCATCATCCTCTCATTCTTCACAGCCGCACCATCCATCTTCCATAATGCAATCATACACTTCTTCATATCAAACATCGACATTTACTAGTAGTGATTCAGACCATATTTCTTCAAATTCATTGCCATTGTGTAATGCAACAGAAACAGTTATTAACGAAGAATGTACATATTCTTTGGAACCTCCAGTAATTAGCGTTCCATCACCGCCCCATTCCTCAACATCTAATTACATGCAGGGTGCTTTAAAAGACTTTATTATTTTTACTAAAAAATAAGTACTACAATTATTCTAAGCACAATGAATATCGGTAGGTAATAATTATGATTAATAAAAAGGAACAATAATAAATAAATACAAATAATTACGTAAAAGGAAATTTCATTTCATACCTTTATGTAGTCCTTTAAGCATTTATATATTGCTATACAGGTTTCTGGTATTATTTGTGAGAGTAACTGAGGAGATATAGCTGTATTGAACATCAAGTCAGTATAGCTACAACCAGAAGAAAGGAATCTCAAAGTCGCTATTAATCTTTCTTCAGCACTTACTGCTTCTCGCAGAATAGTATTTTGCTTTTGGATAAATGGGCGTACCATACTCAGTAATTGAGAAAAACACTCTTCGTTCATCCTTAAATACGTCCGAAAATGTTTAGACCTTAAAACCTTAATCATTGTTAGAGGTGTAAACCTTTTTCTCTGTTTGTAAATTTCTTTAGCCCATAAGCTTCTCTTTTTCCTCCTTTTTCGTGTATCCACGACGGTACTTGATATTGCTACTCCTATCACAATCTTTTGTATTTTAGACAACGTAGGAGCCATGTGAATCACGTCTGCATAAAGTCACCGCTAAAAGCCGATCTGATTTTAAGGAAGCACATCGGAAAGTGTGTAGAGAGTGACTCCGATTTAGGATTACCGACAAATCGGATAGGATCGGAAGGTGTGGATCATGCTTTGCTCCTGCCAGCCGATTAAGGAGGCGATATCGGCCAACACTTGGATGGCCCTACATACGACACGATTTGTAGGCAATCTAGGAGGCATCCCCACCACTCCACCCTAGATCGCCACCGATATCATGTCTTATGTAGCCCACTTTAGAATCACTATATCATTATCGACCAAGTTTGTGACCCGTAGTCACGTCCGAGTTTTTGTAAATTTAAAAATAATTTTGGTATCCAAAATACATTACAAATGGCTTCCTGTGTAGTGAAATGGTGTGGCAAGTCAGCTAAGACATCCAGTTATCAAAAAAGATGGCACAATATTTCATCGGCAAGTAAATTTTATTCTTATCACGTTAACCTATTTCAAATGCACCGGAGTTCAACTTACACTGGATATATAATATTGCAAAGTGATATCATTTGAGCACCCGTTGATGTCTTTTTGAAATGTCCCTTTCACTCATTACGTAAATTAAAATAGTTGTCTTTGTTTAACGACAGCACGTGTATCGATAGTGTTGTGATTTATAAGTCGATATTTGTTTGGTCATCGTTTACTTTTTTTTTGTAGTAATTATTTTATACAAATAGTGGCGCATAATTGTGCTACCTATATTTTATAGGTTTCCTAAATGCCCCGAAAGGAAAAGATGTGGATCGACGCTACATGTCGAGGGGGGCCAATGGTTTCCCACCAAAAATAGTGTGCTATGCTCAAGACACTTCACAGAAGACACTCTCCATATTATGAAAAACCGTAGAAGGCTGTTGGATTCCGCTAGACCATCTCTATACTTGCCAGTTTTAGTATGGACTTTTACATTTTTTAAGAAGCATAATACCAATAGTGATTACATAATAAGTAATAGCATTAAGTGGTTGATTGAAACGTGATATTGTAATATTTAGGCAAATGTTACACGTCGAAATTAAACTATTTTTAACGAATTTATAAACCATAAAACAAGTGAAAGTTATAATGTGATTAATGTTATTCCAGTGTTACATGAACTTCAGAAATATCCTATTCTTATTATTATTATTAAGTGCATCTAAATTTGAAACACGTACCGTATGGTTTTTTAATTAATAATACTACTTTTAGGTGCAACACTAGGCAAAAATACTGTCATCACCGAAAGGGCATACCAGTACACACACAAAGGATTTACACTATTTTGTTACTGAGATAAAACTCCTTCAACCCCCGGACAATGAAACTATTGTCACTTTTGATGTTCAGTCACTATTCACATGCCTACCTGTTGAAGACTGCTTCTCAATTGTAACTAGGAAGCTACAAGATAACAGCATAACTGCAGAATATGCAGTGTTACTCAAACACTGCTTTATATCTGGCTATCTATTGTAGAAGGAAGAGTTCTACAAGCAAGTTGATGGTATGGAAATGGGCTCACCTGTATTTCCTATAGTCGCCGACATATATCATGGAGGACTTTGAGGAGAAACCCTTCTTACTGCTCCTATAAATCCAAGATTCTACAAGCAGTACGTAGACGACACTTTCAAAATTTTACCGTCTGACGAAGCAACTGCATTCTAGACCACCTTAACTACATAAGCTTCAAAATACAAATCACGATGGAGTTAGAAGCAAATAATACTTTAGCTTTCCTAGATGTTTTAGTCATCAAAAATCCTGATAACACTATTGGTCATACTATGTATAGGAAAAAGGCCTATAATACCGGTGGTATTTAAATGGTGAATCTCACCATCATTCTTCATAGTTTGCTACTGTGGGTAAATATTTGTTTCAGAGAGCACAGGGGATCTGTGACAGAATACATCTGGCCGCCGAGCTTCAGCATGTCAAGCAAGTATTACAAGACAACAAGCTTTGGGTCCCCAGCCTATGTCACAGCGACCGAGTGAAGCCGGACACAGTCGTTGGATGGGTGCTGCCATCTGCTTGGGATCCTATAATTAACAAAATCTATCCAAAACCAAGCATACCACTGCAAGACTTCAAGATACTGTAAGCTCGTTTAATGTAGATCTTGACGAAAAATCAATATTCAAAAACTGAAGATAGCCGGGCTAAGTATAATATTGAGATATGTCAAACATCACATTTCCTCCCCCTCCCCCCGTGACCATAAGTTAATTAAACGCCATAAAATCCGTATAATTATATAGTTTTATTCAATGCGTAGTGTACGCGTAACTTTAAGAAATCATTAGATTACATGTACATATATATATATATATATATATATATATATATATATATATATATATATATATATATATATACATATTTTTTATTTATATACACTGTTTTATTTTTTAATAAATTTCAAATAAAAATTTATCATTTATTTATCAATAATCAATAAATCCCAAATTTATCGATCAACGTACCAACCCTGTCCCATCATTATGGTTCGGAGCATTCTAAGTTCAACCTTGAATTATCCAATCACAGCGCATTTGACACGTCCCCCGCAACTCGGTATTTGGTGAAATCGAAACAGAACAAATATTCCATGATGCGGTATCTATTAGGAGGTAATCTGTGGTTTTATTATAGTTGTAGCACGAATTAGTTCGACCTAGGAAGAACCACGCCCCCACAATACACCAGTGTAAAATAGCAGAACAATGCTGCTGTGTTTCTCAGGGTCAGTTTAGAGCTTGAGAGACGCCACGGCATCCTCACCTTCCGCCTGACTCAGGTCCTCACCGGACACGGTGTGTTCGGGAGGTTCCTGTACCGAATCGGGCGGGAGGAAACGCCCGGGTGCTCCCACTGCGAGGATGGACCGGAGGACACGGTGGAACACACCGTGGAGGTGTGCCCTGCTTGGGCGGAGCACCGCCGTGTCCTCGTAGCGGCGATAGGCGGCGGCGACCTCTCGCGTCCGGCCCTGGTCGAAGCCATGGTCCGGAGCGAGACGGAATGGGATGCCGTCACCACCTTCTGCGAAGCAGTGATGCTAGCGAAGGAGGTGGCGGAGCGGGAGAAGGAAAGAGCAGCAGCTTTCCTCCCCGGCCGCCGCGGGAGACGCCCCGGGCGTCGGGGGCTACGTCGTGGCCCCCGGCCACCGTAGGCGCGGGCCTGTGGACGGCGAGCAATGGGTAGCTCGTCGTCCGTCCGTCTAACGACGACAGGCCGTGTCGACGGCGCGTTTTGTTCCACGCGCGCCTCAAAGAGCTGTCAGCAGCATGATGGGGCCCGCAAGGGCCGACGCCTGCCGGGGCTGCGGGCTATTCGAAAGAGATACCGCGGCTCCGGAACGTAAGGGCACTAAAGGAACACGGATGGTTTTTAGTCAGTAAAAGTCTGACACTCCCCTTACGCTCCACCCAGAGCGAAAGGGGTCATTAGATGATTTTCCATCCGCAAAAAAAAAAAAAAAAAAAAAAAAAAAAGGTCAGTTTAGAGAACAAGACACTGTTTTTACTGGAAAAGAGGCATACCATATATGTCCTCTCTTGGTGACAACGCATCTGCATTTTGAATCTTAATCGATGTATCGAGAGAATCAGTAGGTATTTGTGTTTTAACCTATGTTAGAAGATCTCAATTTTATTAATGCCTACTTCAGAAAATAATTCATATACCTACTTCTTCTCTATAGGTTATAGACTTAGATAATAAAAAAATAAACAAATAAATGTAGTGATGAAAATATAAAAAAGTAAGAGCGAACAGGTTTATAGATAAATTTGTATAACTGGGCCTGTGGTTTTCTAATTTCTGACAATGTTCATTCTAGGTGGTTTAATTGCTTTCCTTCCTACGATTCCTCTTTTCTGCCGTTAAACAGCACTACTTACATAATAGCGTGCAGGGTGTAGCGGGCCGGTATACAAATTATTGAGCATTCTGTCTTAGTAGCGAGATACCGTATCTGTAGACTTCTTTCCATTGGCAGTAATAGCCATTTACCATCAGATGGATTGTAAAACCATTTGTCACTTCATTTTTATAATAAAAAAGTAAAATTTTATTACATTATACAAAATCCATTGCTCTGTTTTGGTGTGAATGTTCTGGGTTAAAAAACAAACACGGTTTCAGACTGCAAGACATTTTCTATCCTTCTCAGCCTTCGAGAATAAAGCACGTGTGGTCTTTTTTGCTTAAGTGCTGAGTAATTGCAGGTGTCAATGGGATGGCAAAGCCAATTGAAATAAAATGGACTGTTTACTCATGGGTTGTTCCAATACAACTAAAATGTTTTTTTTAACTATGAGAATAGTAGTAAAATATTTCATTCATCATATACTATCAAAATCCACTGCTGAATAAAGTCCTCCCCTAAATTCATCATAGTTAACACACTTTGCAGGCGGGTTATCAGCCGCAGTTTCTATTATTTCGTCTTTACCGGGAATCTAATTTACGGGGGCATCCCCTGTTTTATTTCCCCTTTTACTAATAATGTGAAGTAAAATAAAATCAAAAATGTATGAAATATTAACAATTTAAAAATCAATCTATTAATAGGCATTGCAAGCATTTCTTTTTTCAGATAATAAAAGGTTGCTAAACACTCGGCACAACGACCAGTACCGTCTTTGACATCAAAATACATAGCTGCTTTAGTACTAGATAAAATAAAGAAATGTAAATGTAAAAAAAAATGGATAGCTAAGGGACCTGCAAAGTTTATAAAGTCCCTTTTGTATTTATAAATTGAAGTTGAAAATTTGAGTATACTACACTAAAACTAAAATTCTTACTTTCGATACGTTTGTCTCGCTCAAGCACGCACACAAACGCGTACGTTCTTATATTAAAGGTTTATGCTTATCCATATATAATATTTCTCACCTTCAGAGCCAATAGCTGCAGCGAGTTGTATGTCGGCTGCGGTCGGCATTTCAGGAGTTGTGCTAAATGGCCCTAATGAAAGAAACACATGTTTATAAAATAAATATATTGTAAAGTATAATGTTGGTTTTCCTGTATTGGATTCCTTTTTTTATTTTATAAAGGTTGTTATTTATTATGATCCATATCAAAGTTGACGTAGCTCTCAGACTAAGCGTTCACTGAAAATATCACGATTCGATCCTCGCCAGCACCAAAAAAATGTTAATTGCAATAATTTTTTAAATTATTTTTTATTATTATAATTTTTTTAAAGAGCTCTTTGCTACGTGCTTGGAGACGAAGGATAACATTATAAATAAACCTCCGTGTCTTGAAAAACAATATATCAAAGAAATTATGTAAAGTCCTAGAACGGGCGTCAAGGTGGACCATTGCTCCATAATCCTCTCAGAAATATGAGCAATGAGACGTATAAAGTAAGTGAAAGCATTCATTATCATTACTTTCGTTGTTTTTATATTTTATAGGGTGTAAGGGGCTCCGCTAAGATCTTGGAGTCCAAGCCAACCCCGCCTGCACGTGGTGCACCTGCTGGACAAAGGAAAGGGCTCTGGCGATGCCACTCCTCTGGGATTCTTCCTAGGGGTTCGGGGGTCAGACGGCAGTCGCCCCGGTAATTGGCACTAAGCCACTCAAAAATGGAAAGTAAAAGAAAGATATATACGTTTAGGACTATGGCGTCGCCGAATAACGACGCGCATGGGGATCGCCTTAACTGCGACAAGTATGCGAGGGCTACCGGGCCCCGTGCGAGCCCGACTAAAGACGTTAGCACGCTTACGGGACGCTCCACAGAACTTACGGCCATACTTGCCAGGCGTAAAGTGGCAGTGGTGTTCCTGCAGGTGACACGGTGGAAGGCCAACAGGAGCCGGAATCCGGGGGGAGAACGGTGGGGCAGTGGTGCTCACCGAGCATTTCCACGATAGCGTCTTGGAAGTTAGACGCATATGCGACTGACTTATGGTAGTAAGGTTGCTTATTGAGGGGGTTGTGACCCACTTAATAAGTGTCTACGCCCCACAGGTCGGCTGCAACGACGCGGATAGGACGCTGTTTTAGGATCGGCTCAGAGATGTACTATGCGGCATACCGTTGTCCAACGATGTCTTTTTGGGTGGCGACCTGAACGGTCATGTGGGCGAGGTGCAGGGGGAGTATGAACGTGTCCACGGCGGCTATGGAAACGCAGAGGGGGAAACCATTCTCAGAACCTGCACTGCAGCTGACCTGGCCGTGGCGAACACGTTCTTCAAAAAGAAAACCGAGCACCTGATTACCCACAGGAACGGTCGGAACGCCACTCAAATCGACTGTCTACTGACCAGGAGAAGTCATATCAGTCGCGTGGCCTACTGTAAGGTCATACCCGGTGAGTGTCTCATTGCCCAACATCGACTTCTTGTCATGGACCTCTGCGTAAAACCCCGTCGCAGACACGCCGAACGTTGCCGCCGTCAAATGAAGTGGTGGCTGCTGGATCAAACCAGATACTCAGAGTTTGACTCTGCCGCTGGGGATATTAGTCTCGACACAGCAGACAAGTCCGTCCAAGAGTGCTGGAAAACCATTCAGACAGCAATCACAAAGACGGCAAAGCAAGTCCTCAGCGTGGCGACAGGGGGTCGCAAAATCGACAAGGAGACCTGGTGGTGGGACGCCACAATCCAGGGTTCATTACGGGAGAAGAAAGCGCTCTTCAAGACGTGGCAAGCGACCAAATCTCCTGCAGATCACGCATCTTACAAGACAGCGAAAAGAGCTGTAGCCAGAGCCAGGCGTGACCACTTGCAACCATTATATGCTAAGTTGGACACTCCTGAGGGGCACAAGCTCATATATAAACTGGCGCGCTCTAGGGCCAAAGCAGCGCAAGATATTACTCGCTGCTGCAGCGTCAACGGCCCTAATGGCGAGCTCCTGTACGATGATCGTGCTGTGAAGGAGAGATGGCGCTCTTATTTCCACATTTTGCTGAATACTCAGCACCGCGAAGTGCACCATCCCGAACAACTCCCGAACCATGGACTCGTACCACCGATTACGTCTGACGAGGTCCTCGCATCTCTTCATCACATGGAGAATCGGAAAGCTGTAGGACCGGACGAGGTGCCAATTGAAGCGTGGAAAGCACTGGGGGCTCGTGGTGTGTGCATTCTTACTAACCTTTATAATAGAATCCTGAGCGACCGAATAATGCCCGATCGGTGGCGACTTAGTATAATAACGCCGATCCACAAGGATAAAGGGTCCGTTCAGGATTGCGGTAATTACCGCGGTATAAAGGTGACGTCACACACCATGAAGCTCTTCGAGCGCATTATTGACACCAGGATCCGATAGGAGTGTACAGTATCGGACTCCCTGTACGGCTTTCAACCTGGACGCGGTACCATGGACCCTATATTCACCCTAAGGATCCTCATGGAGAAGCACAGGTAAAAGAATATGCCTCTGCATTTTTTATTCCTAGACCTGCAGAAGGCCTTTGACAGTGTTTCTAGGGAGATGATCTGGTGGGCGTTGCGGTCGAAATTGGTACCAGAGACCTACGTGGAAATCGTACGTGACATATACCGCAACTCCGATTCAATAGTCAGGACCGCTGTTGGTGATACCACCCCCCTTCCCCATAACCGTAGGCTTGCATCAGGGCTCCGTCTTAAGCCCTATCTCTTCAGTGTGATATTAGACGAACTGTCAGCCAGCGTACAGAAACTACCGCAGCCTTGGCTGCTTATGTACGCTGATGGCATCGCACTGGTATATGGGAACAAAGGACGGCTCACCAGACCCGTGCATGCATGGAGGGAGGCGCTTGAGAGCGGCGGGCTGAAGCTAAACGTGGCGAAGATGGAGTATATGGCCTGCCTGTTGCAGGCCATATACTCCGTCTTCTCAGATCTGACGTCTCTCCGTGTAGGTGACAACACCGTCGAGAGCAAGGACAACTTCAGGTACCTCGGATCTGTGCTTGATGCGTCCAGGGACATCGATCGCGACATGAAGGTCCGTATATCAGCGGCCTGGGCGAAATGGCGCGAGGTGACGGGTGTCATTTGTGACCCCAAAATGACGGTAAAGCTGAAGGGACAGGTCTATAAGACCGTCATAATGCCTGTCCTTACATACGGCAGTGTGGTGGGGCTGTTGCTGGAGCGACACCGGCAGTTTTTGCATGTCACGGAGATGAACATGCTGTGGTGGATGTGTGGCGTCACGCGGAAAGACCATGTACGGAATACATACATCCGCGGCAGCCTCCATGTCCGTGACATTGCTGACAAGCTGCAGGAAAGTCGCCTCCGCTGGTACGGCCACGTCTTACGACGACCGGCAAGCTACGTGGGAAACAAATGCCTGGACATGACCCTACCTGGTACCAGGAGTAGAGGACGGCCCAAGAAACGCTGGCTTGATGTCGCGCAGGATGATATGCGCGCCAGTGGGCTAGTTGCGAGGGACGCCGAAGACCGGGCAAAGTGGAGGAGGACGTGTAGGAAAGCGGACCCTGGGTTCTCCCGCGTTGGGCGCGATGAGCAAATGGGATAAACGCTAGGTAGAAGAAGAAGAAGAAGACTTGTTGTTTTTATAATTAACACGTTTCATAAATTTCCAGTCTCGTGAATCGTAAGAGGATGCTTACAAATGACTATTTTAATTTTTTGCGTCTAATAAAACGTTATCAGTATTATGAATCGTCTGAAATAAAGAATCAGCGCGAATTATTTCTCAGTTTGAATCACGCTTGACTTTCTTTTCATTAAGACTAAATGCGGACGCTTTGAAAAAGTTTTGTGTTTTCCCTTACCCACTCATTTTCTAATAGATATTATTTTTCCTGCATAAAATGAAATTAACGGCACATATAATTATTCACGACAAATGCTGCCAGAAATGTTTCATCTCGCCTGAGTTTAGATATCTGTGTACACGATACTTCCATTGATAAAAAAGCTCGCAAATTATTCTGTGAAATTGTTATTTTCGAGTCTTCCGCAAAAAATGTATATTTCCCAGTCTTATTCTTTTCACGGCTGCCCTGTTTAAACGACGTTCGGCTTATAAAGCGGTTAAATGGTTTGTTATAAAGCGGCTACAACCATAATATAGCTGCAGCGTCGCCCTACCACATATAAAAATATAATATATAATAAAAACTATTCGATAGTTAATCAACCAGATGTTTTATTCGTTAGGTATTTTTTAAATTGTACTCATTGTTTAGTTCTAATATGAAAACATATGTATGTATTTATTACTCCGAAGACGGAAAAGACTTCCGCAAATACCACCAAACTATCCGAAGAGGAACATGAAAGTGGTTTCCGATGAGAATGGAAGCGGGTTTTGGTGCGGCTGTCAATTAGCCTGCTTGTATCAACAGACTACCCTGTGCAGAGTTATTTTGAAAATAATCATTCAAAGGGCACGGTATTAAATTACAAATCACTGATCAGTAAGATTTACAAAAAATCGTTTTATTTTTTTCCATCTATACATTATGAGCAGTTTTTACAGTATATAATATGCATAATATGAATTATATATTATACAAATTCCTAACGACTAGGAACAAAATATCAAGGTTATTTATTTCTAGAAACGGTTGTTTTTCTGCTCAGAAGTATGTCTGAACGCTCTTACTTATTTATGTCGCTAAAGTGGTCCGGTTCATTAAGGATTTTATTGTAACTAGATTTATTTCAGGCTACAATCGAGTATAACCAAAAAAAAAGTTTTTTTTTCTCAAGTTATATACAAATGTAAAATAGCTTATATCGGCTAAGTCTGCCTTAATTAAACTAACAATCTGAAGTAAATTCTTTATGAAGATAATCGATTGAACGGGTCGATATTTTATAACGAAAACATTTGTGACTTGTATAGATAATGATAACACATAAGCTTGGAATAGACGAAATTAGTTTCTTATGTTTTGTGTGTTTGTAACATGTAAGCATAGGTAAGCTAAACTAAAGAACCTGAGCAAGCTATTTAAATAGTTCGTTTACATGCTTTCTCTGATTTTATTGTGATTCCACTTGTTGTTATGCAGGCCTAAGTCTATCGATATACTTCAGCAGAGTATGATACTATGTTTTTTTTAAACGTTACCCCGTAACTTTGTAGTAGGATTATTCCTGTGTCACGTAGGCAGTTTACATACATAAATTGCACAAGGACAAACAAACATCCAGCCCCAAAACAATTATTTGTAAGCAATACAAACACTTATTTCCTGTGAGATTCGAACCCGGGCCCCTCAGGACGCGGTTTTTTTTTTAGTATTTTCATTGCTCATTTTGATAATACCGTTGTTCATGTCCTTTTTAGAGTTCCGTAGTCAACTAGGAACCCTTATAGTTTCGCCATGTCTGTCTGTCCGTCTGTCCGCCCTCGCTTAATCTCTGTGACCGTTACCACTAGAAAGCTGAAATTTGGTACCAATATGTGTATCAATCACGCCGATAAAGTGGTAAAATAAAAATTGGAAAAAAATGTTTTATTAGGGTAGCCCCCCTATATGTAAAGTGGGAAGTGATTTTTTTTTTAATTTCAGCCCTAACGTGTGATACATTGTTGGAAAGGTATTTAAAAATGAATAGGGGTTTACTAAAGTCATTTATTGATAATGTCAATAATTTCGGAAATAATTGCTCAAAAATTAAAAAACAATGTGTCCGCCCCCCCTCTAACTTTTGAACCATAAGTTTAGAAAATATGAAAAAAATCTGAAAAGTAGAACTTTATAAGGACTTTCTAGAAAAATCATTTTGAAGTTGGATGGAAACAACAGTACCCACTACCGGGAGTATTTGCAGGAGCGCGGAGCGCTGCTGGAGCGCGAACATAATGGATACCCACCTTTAAACTCATAAGTGGGAACACTTATTGTGACGGACTGGAAACTACGGAACCCTACACTGAGTGTGGCCCGACACGCTCTTGGCCGGTTTTTTCAACTGTTGCCTTGAACGACACACATGAGATTATATGGGATAATGATGTACCTTAGTACGCCGCCGCTGTAGATTCACAAGGCACTATTCTTATTTACACGTGGTAGAGCCTACGCTGCATCTGTATTATACTTGAAGTACGAATGGGTTGGCACGACCAGAAAAGGACCACGTTCTCACAGAATACTACTTTATATAAAGCGCAAGTCCGGTCATGCATGGAGTATTGCTGCCATGTATGGGCTGGTGCTGCAAAATGCCACCTAGCAACTTTGGACTCAATGGAGAAGCGTGCTAAGATGCTTATTGGTGACCCAAATTTGGTTAAAACCATTCTTACCAGCCTCGAACACAGGCGCAAAGTAGCCAGCCTTTCGGTCTTCTACAGGATGCATTTCGGAGAGTGTGCGCAGGCACTGCATAATTTAATTTCTCCCTCTCCCTTCCACCATAGGACAACCAGACGTTCGGCCAGTATCCACCCTTTGGTTGTTGACTTACCAAGCATTCAAACCAAATGGTTTGCTACGTCGTTCGTCATGCGTACAGCAAAGGAGTGGAATAAGTTGCCAGCATCTGTATTTCCATCCGATTACAGTGTTGTGTGCAGTGTTCAAGGTAAGAGTGAATAGGTTTTTGTTAAGTCAGAGCGCTTCACATACTTAGGCTACATCACCACTTACAATCAGGTGGGATTGTAGCCAAGCGCTGGCTTAGAATAATAATAATAAAAAAACTACAAAAATAATTTTCAACAAAGAACGAGTATAAAATAAAGAAAAAATGCTTCGAAAAACTTAATACTATGCGAGAGAATTTCTCCATCTTAGCACGCGCCCATTTCTTACAGTTCATTAAACTTCACGTGCCAAATATTCTTAAAAGTGTCATGTTTCAGTGCCGGAGACGAATTTCCGCCTGATCCAGAACAAGACTGACGATGATACTGTGAACGTCATATGTGCTGCGGACAGAGCGTTTCCTGCACCAAACCTGACGCTAGCCACACCTGAGAGGTACGTTACTGTAAGTGCGTAGGCGTAGGATCATAAGCCGTTATAATTAGCAAATAAATTACTGCAGACCACTAATAACTATATTTATTAACACGCAAGTACAAGTTAGACAAGAGTACGAAATAATATCTGATTGCATTGGAAACATTGCTTATATAGGTGAAAATAATTAACAATAATTAAAATCCCGATATGTTGTTTATCTTAAACTACACACTGATTGGTCGTATTCACAGCGAACACAATACATGCGCAAGCGGCCGTTGAACTCCGCCCATGACGCCGTCGATGAGAACAATAGGAACGACCAATGGGACGACTAATGGGACCAATGGGAACGCATGCGCCCTAATGAGCGGGCGGTGCTTAGCAATGACGTAGAATATCGTCCGATGTATGACGTAGGAGTGGCGTGATGTCTAGGTCCGTTCTAGCTACTAAAGCGCTTATTACATTATACAATTTTTAGGAAATCTAATTAGGAAATAGGAAGGTGTAATCGTAGTTAGAACAGTTAGGATCCGATTTAGTCAAATTGGAGGTCCCAATCGCTCTACTTCCTAAATTGTTTACAATTTAGGACAGTGTAATCGCAACGTTACGATTTAGAACAACCAGTCGGTGCCCGCGCATTGATACAAGCGGATGTCTTGAAGTTTTGATAGAAGTCTGATATCAGAGAGCAGTACTTTAAATCTTAATATTAATTTCCGGTGGCTATAAAACGTAATGTCACCAAACATTCTTTGGTACACACACTTTACCGAAATATCGTGACTTCTTTTTCAATATGTTTGGATACCAAACTTAACAAATATTCAAACTGTTTATAGGTGGTAGAGCCATGCTTCAGTTATATTAGTAGTATAGTTGTAGCACGAATGGGTCGGCTCAACCGGGGAAAACCACGCTCTCACAGAATACCAGCGTGAAATAGTAGCTTATGTTGCTGTGTTTCGTATGGCGAGTGTAGAGAACCGGAGACCCTTTTTACTGGAAACGAGGCATTCCATCTTAGTCGTCACAGGTGACAACGCATCTGCATTTTGATTTGTAATCGGAGATAGATGTAGATGTCCATGGGCCGCAGCAACCACTTATCATCAGGTGGACTGTGTGCTCGTTTGTCACCCTATCCTATAAAAAAACTGCTTTGAATCTAAAAATATATAATTATATTCTTAGAGTTTTCTCAATGACAAGTACTCTTTTCTCTTTTTTTAATATCCATTGTTCCCACCACGGCTAAGGCAAGTCCTATTTTCTGCTGTTTTGGTAAATACGGCGCCATCGATCAAACGTGCAATCCCGTCGATACTTCTTTACGAATGCGGTTCGTCACGATTTAGAATTCAATTTAGTGTAGTGTGATCACTAGCTTCCAATTTAGGTTCCTAATTAGATTTCCTAAAAATTGTATAGTGTAATAAGCGCTTAATTTACTCGCCACATTACTAACTTTTTATTATTTTGTAGTGTAGTTTGAACATAACAACACCATCTTAGCTTGGCTTGGCAGTTCGATAAGTATTTTTATCAAAATAGAAACGAAATTACAATAACAATTATGATTGTAGTTTAAACGTATGCAACTAATTAGTTATAACGTGTCCAGGTCGTATAAAATCGAAGATGTGTGCTCTATTCAGCAGTTGGCTTACAAGGCAATTGCACCTTATCGCTAATCAATCAGCCTACATCACTAGACTCATGCTTGCTTGAAATTACTTGCTTTACTGCATTGATTACGTAAGTAGCCACTACATTGATTCAAATGCGGTTTTAAGTCCAAAATACAAGCAGTAAAAATACAAAGTAAGTTTTTTTTTCAAATAACACAACATCTGTTATACATAGCCTATTTTACTGAATATTATATTAAATATATAGAAATATTTGGCATAAATACCGCACTTGTCATACGAATAGGAGATCGCGATGCTAGACTGTACAAACTGACCTCTACTCGATCTTGTACCTCAAACAAACAAACTGTTTATAAATAAAAAATAATAAAAAATGTATATTGGTCGGACAAAAAGATCCAAAGTGGTTAGTAGAAACAAAAAAGCTTAATGTCTATGTTAGTACTTAATAACTAAGAAGACGCGAGTGAACAGTCCCCATTTTCAGCAATGCTTTTCAGAATGATATTAAAAAGCCTTCACATTTTCAATAACGCGTTCACCCAATTAACAAAAAAGAATACTACTATGATATTACGTGTTTCATGTTTTGGTTGTCTGTTAATTAGTGTTGCAATTTGATAATAATATCGGAAAAAAGGCATTCTGAGGCATTTTTTGGGGATTCCTATGTTCAGCAGTGGACTTCATTAATTTAGCTTTGATAGGCTGTAATGATAAATGAATAATGAAATATTAGTACTCATCATCATCTTCATCAACATCGGCCCGTAAAAGTTTTCAGCTGGTCATGGGCCTCTCCAGTTGATTATTTTTAGATTTAGCTTAATTGCCACCCTCAGGATCAGACGTCTCGCATCTATGTCGCTAAGCTAAACATAAGCAAAGTGGCTATGTAATCTAAACAAAAGTAAAGTAATTTAGTGTATTAAGATTAATAATCAGTAAAAACGCCATACCGCATCTGCATCGGTTGGGCATACTGAGAATAAGATAATTAATATCCTATGGAGGAATATTGTCCCAGGTCCTGCTGAGATGCATAAAAAGTTATTCTTCTGTAACCATATTTTAAAGAAAAGTCCTCAGAGATCTTCTTTGAAGCATATTCCAAGCATTTTCTATGGAATTTAAATCTAGAGATTACGCTGGCCATTCTAAGGACATCACATCATGTTTGTACAACCAAACTGAACCGACATTGTCGTGCATAAGCGGGAAATTTTGACTTATGCGTGTTCAATATGGCAAGACAAAGAAGTTCTAGCACCTAATTACAGTATTTTTCAGCCACCATAGTGTCCTGTATCCAAACGAAGTCTGTTTTTTTCACCAAAACGAATTCTTACCACTCCATAATTGGTATGGATGAACTTCTTGAGAGAGTTGAGGCCGGATAGTACGATCAGAAACTTTCCTCAGAGTACGTGTGGGTAGAATTAGGATGAAAACCAAACCGGGATTCAACAGTGAAAAGAACCAACGACCACTGATGGGGTTCCGAGTTCACATGTTCTTCAGCCCATTACAGTTTTCGTCCAATATTTCCTCTTCTTAGAGCTGGAACCCTAAGTGGTCTACGACCATGAAGGTTAGTTTCGTGCAGTCTCCTCCTCATAATTTGATCACTCAACAAGCACCTGGTGTTCAGCCTTTGGACAATTGCTTCGCCTTATCATATATATTGTTGCCTTCTCGCAACAATTTGCAAAAAAATGGCTTATCTGGCTGTAGTAATGCGGCTTGGTCCTGGGTCTCTCCACCACCACAGCCATGGCATGATAGTGTGATCACAACCTCGAAATCACATTTTTCCTGGTGCCTAGTGCCAGTTGAAAAGTACCAGCCTGCAGAATTCCTACAGCTCTTCTCGAGTTAAACGTCGACACACACGTTACAATCTACCCAAGTTGATTTCGATTTTTATTGCATTGTAAAGAAGCATTTTGAGATCAAACATTTATTCATTAATTTAATGTCATATGTATATGGCAAAAATAATCTGGCGCTGTGCCAGAATTACCTGAATGCCTGTTAAGTATGACTATCGGGGAAGGTAGGAAAATAGATGCAGTTTCATGTCATTGCATTGCTCTAGCCTAGCTTTAGCCCAGAGGAATATGAATGATTAATTTAGTTTATTTCCGTAGTATTAAATTTTGGTAGATATTATTGTAAAAATCGTGTGGGTGGGTGTGTGTTTTTTTTTCATCTTATCAAATAATTAAGTTTTCAGTCAAATCGATTCAGTTCGTTTTTTTTTTTTAATTTAATTATTTTACCAATAGGCAGTTCATACTGAGAGTAAAAATATTCATCGCACTGTCACACTCTACACAATGCTACATATTATATTCATATTTAAAACATCTATATGTTTTATTGAAAGGAGGCTGGATGGAGTTTCTCACGAATTGAAACTGGTGAACGGCAGATACTCGGCGGTAGCTTCGGTTACGTTGATCGACGCTGACCTTCCTTCACCTGCGGAGTTTATTTGCACTCTTCGAATACCTTTAGCGAAATACGCAGTAAGGAAAGAAGCAATTTACTATCCGGGTAAGGATTTTCTTTTAACATTTTTCCTACAATGTTACTATAGAAAAGAGTAGAATAGATAAGCAAATAGTTAGGAGATTTGATGTGAGCTTAATCTCAAGCAGACTTTTGCTCTTGTCTAATATACATTTATATACAGTCTTGAAGTAGATTATTATTCGTAAAAGTGTTGTTATTTTATATATAAAATATCTAGAATGGTATATTTATGAGGAAACTGTGAATTCTTCGGAAAGTCCACGCCGTAAGGCGTCACTCCATATCCGTACCGTTAGCGTTGTAAGAAGCGGCTATGGGAAATGCTGGAAAAATCTTGTTTTTTTTTTAAATATAGGATAAGGGTTACAATCACAAAGTCCACCTGATGGTAAATGGTTGCTGCGGCCCATAGACATCTGCATCAATCCTCGATCACGAATCAAAATGCAGATGCTTTTTCACCCGTGACGACTAAGAAGGAATACCTCTTAGCCAGTAAAAAGGGTCTCCAGTTCTCTACACTCACCATACGAAACACAGCACCGTTAAGCTACTATTTTACGCTCGTATTCTATGAGAGCGTGGTTCTTCCCCGGTCGAGCCGATAACTATACTACTAACATAGCTGCAGCACGGCTCTACCACGTACAAAATTTATTAGGTATTAAGGCAAATCCTTCTTACAACGGGAGATGTCTATGTCTAGCAGTAAACTTACGGGCAAATAAAAAAGAAAGTTGTTGAAACAAGTGTAGCACCAACGCCTTGATATAGGTCATCATGTGTCTACTTTCGATAAAATTTCCCAAAAACTCCGCAGTGTTCAACACCAACATATTGTAAAAAAGTTTTTAGCGGTCAGCCACCGTAGTCTACTCCGCCTGAGGATGCTTAATGTAGAAACGAAACACGCGTCTTATTCTGTCGTGCCGTTCATGTTCGTTCGTTCCTAGTATGGTAGTGTTGGGACTTGTTGGGCTGGTAATGGTGGTGCTGGGTATAATGGTTTCAGTCCAGTCAGGCCAATCAACCATAATTTAAAATTGATAAGCGAAAAAATATTAAATAAAAAATATATTCGAAGATATTTTGTGTCGAATACCAAAAAAAAAAATATACAATATAATGAATAAATAAAAGTTACAATAAGTAAAGAAGAAGCATCTTATTTCTGGAAATCAAAACGTTTATTCGTGTCTAATTATCCCTGTAAAAAAATTAAGGCAGGTCTGCTCAATGATGATATAAAATCTTTTAAATCTTTATTTTTGAAATCGTTAGCTCAGCAACCGACACACTCTACCCCATATTTAGTTCTGATGTTATTTTAAAACTAACTTTAACTTATTTTTTTGACGTCAGTGAGGTTTTAAACCTTAAAAAATACATTTGTAGACTATAGTAGCACTTGAAAAGCCCTCAAGGTATAGAGAGGAATAAATTAATATTCTGTAGTGAATGTATTTATTTATTTTTTTGAAAATGTTCGCTTTTATAGCTACATTTATTAGTCTATTTCCGTATTATATATTCACTGTAATAATTAGCAAATTAAATGTTTTTTTTGGTATATCAGGAAATATTTTGAATATGTCAATTGTTTAAAATTACAACCGTGTAAAATATACTCGAAACTTATATAAGAAATTCAATAATATTCAAATTTACATTAATTTATCAAATTTTAACCACTCTACGTGCTTATGATACGTACTACTAACACAAATATTTGGTTTTAACTGTTTGTCTAATATTACTACACTGATGACATATAAATTATCATTTAAATTAAACTCTGTTTAATACGTAAATAAATATAATTATTTGTTTCTTTAAAACATGTAATTAGCCCAATTAAAAACGAAAACAGACAATTTGGGAGACCTTGATAACATTATTTTATATTCTTTCTTATTTATATTCTAATTTGCCATGGAATTTGTTAGAGGGCTGGCTGGATAAAATCCGACGTCATAAACAGAAAGCTATTTATTTATTTAAAACAAACCATTTAACCGCTTTATAAGCCGAACGTCGTTTAAACAGGGCAGCCGTGAAAAGAATAAGGGTGGGAAATATACATTTTTTGCGGAAGACTTGAAAATAACATCATCATCATCATCATCATCATCACAGCCCTTCACAAGTCCACTGCTGAACATAGGCCTCCCCAAGTAATGCCACAAAGCACGGTCCTGAGCCACCTGCATCCATCGACTTCCTGCATATCTTACCAGGTCGTCACTCCATCTAGACAGATCTCCAAATGCATGCGGCGAGACTTACGCAACTTTACTGCTCGTATTAAAGAAGCGATCGAGCGGAACCAGGGCTCCAAAGTCTTTGCCAGAGATCTGTCTGCCAGAAAGAGCCAACTGTCAAGGCTGAAGACTGAGTGTGGCAGCATCGTTTCCGGGACACCTGAGATTTTGAGTGAGATTGAGAGGTTCTATGGGCAGCTGTACACATCATCGTTGGAGCCACACGCAAGTGTGAGTAACGATCCAAGAGCAAGTCTTATCCGACACTATTCCGATGATATCCCGGACGTCAGTCTAAGCGAGATTAGAATGGCTCTCCAGCACCTTAAAAACGGCAGGGCCCCAGGCGAGGATGGAATTACAGCGGAGCTTCTGAAAGCGGGTGGAACACCGGTACTTGAAGTCCTTCAGAAGCTCTTCAATTCCGTCCTCCATGGTGGCACTACTCCAGAGGCGTGGAGCAGAAGTGCGGTGGTCTTATTCTTTAAGAAAGGCGACAACGCTCTCTTGAAGAACTACAGACCGATTTCCCTTCTGAGCCGCGTCTACGTGCTGTTTTCGAGAGTCATTACGAATCGTCTCGCACGCAGACTCGACGACTTCCAGCCTCCCGAACAAGCCGGTTTCCGAAAAGGCTTCAGTACCATAGACCACATACATACCCTGCGGCAGATTGTACAGAAGACTGAAGAGTACAATTTGCCACTTTGCCTGGCGTATGTGGACTATGAGAAAGCCTTTGATTCCGTCGAAATTTGGGCGGTGCTGCAGTCCCTTCAGCGGTGCCAAGTTGACTGTCGGTATATCGAAGTGCTGAAGTGTTTGTACAGTAGGGCTACGATGGCTATCCGAGTACAGAACCAGAGCTCGAAACCTATCCAACTGCAGAGAGGTGTAAGACAGGGTGACGTTATATCCCCGAAACTCTTCACCGCTGCTTTGGAAGACGTTTTCAAGCTACTGGACTGGAAAGGATACGGTATTAACATCAATGGCGAGTACATCACTCACCTTCGATTTGCCGACGATATAGTCCTTATGGCAGAATCGCTGGAGGACTTAAGCACTATGCTCAATGACCTCAATAGTGCCTCCCAACGGATAGGTCTTAAGATGAACATGGACAAAACAAAGATCATGTTTAATGTCCATGTCACACCTATGCCGGTAGTTGTTGGGAGCACTATGCTCGAAGTTGTTGACGAGTACGTTTACCTGGGACAAATAGTCCGACTAGGTAAGTCCAACTTCGACCGAGAGGTTAATCGACGGATTCAACTCGGCTGGGCAGCGTTCGGGAAATTACGACATATCTTCTCGTCAGGTATACCTCAATCTCTGAAAACTAAAGTGTACAACCAGTGCGTGTTGTCAGTGATGACTTACGGATCAGAGACGTGGTCCTTCACTGCTGGCCGTATGAGGACGCTCAAGGTCGCTCAGCGAGCTATGGAGAGGGCTATGCTCGGAGTTTCTCTGCGTGATAGACTCAGAAATGAGGATATCCGCAGTAAAACCAGATTGACCGACATAGCCCAACGGATTAGTAAGCTGAAGTGGCAATGGGCCGGCCATATAGCTCGAAGAACCGATAACCGATGGGGAAGAAAGGTTCTCGAGTGGCAGCCTCGTACCGGTAGGCGTAGTGTAGGGCGACCCCCCACTAGATGGAGTGACGAAAATAACAATTTCACAAAATAATTTGCGAAGGCCATTTAAGCTTTTTTATCAATGGAAGGTTCGTGTACACAGATATCTAAACTTAGGCGAGATGAAACATTTCTGGCAGCATTTGTCGTGAATAATTATATGTGCCGTTAATTTCATTTTATGCAGGAAAAAAAATCTCTATTAGAAAATGAGTGGGTAAGGGAAAACACAAAACTTTTTCAAAGCGTCCGCATTTAGTCTTAATGAAAAGAAAGTCAAGCGTGATTCAAACTGAGAAATAATTCGCGCTGATCCTTAATTTCAGACAATTCATAATACTGATAACGTTTTATTAGATGCAAAAAAATTAAAATAGTCCTTTGTAAGCATCCGCTTACGATTCACGAGACTGGAAATTTATGAAACGTGTTAAGTATAAAAACAACGAAAATCTTCTTCTTCTTCTTTTTTCTACCTAGCGTTTATCCCGATTGCTCATCCCGCCAGCCAACTCAGGTTCCGCTTTCCTACACTTCCTCCTCCACTTTGCCCGGTCTTCGACGTCCCCCCGCAACTAGCCCATTGGCGCGCATGTCGTCCTGCACTACATCAAGCCAGCGTTTCTTGGGCCGTCCTCTACTCCTGGTACCAGGTAGGGTCATGTCCAGGCATTTGTTTCCCACGTAGCTTGCCGGTCGTCGTAAGACGTGGCGTCGCTCCAGCACCGGCCATGACTCACTGCCGTATGTACGATAGGCCTTATATACCTGTCCCTTCAGCTTGACCGGCATTTTGGGGTTACAAATGACACCCGTCACCTCGCGCCATTTCGCCCAGGCCGCTGATATACGGGCCTTGATGTTGCGATCGATGTTCCCGGACGCATTAAGCACAGATCCGAGGTACCTGAAGTTGTCCGTGCGCTCGACGTTGTCGTCACCTATACGGAGAGACGTCAGATCTGTGCTGTTGCAGGCCATATACTCCGTCTTCGTCACGTTTAGCTTCAGCCCGCCGTTCTCAAGCGCCTCCCTCCATGCGTGCACGCGTCTTGTGAACCGTGCTTTGTCCCCATATACCAGTGCGATATCATCAGCGTACATAAGCAGCCAAGGCTGCGGTAGTTTCTGTATGCAGGCTGACAGTTCGTCTAATATAGCACTGAAGAGATAGGGCTTAAGACGGAGCACTGATGCACGCCTACGGTTAAGGGGAAGGGGGTGGTATCACCAACAGCAGTCCTGACCATTGAATCGGAGTTGGGGTACATGTCACGTACGATTTCCACGTAGGTCTCTGGTACCAACTTCGACCGCAACGCCCACCAGTAGGGTATATATAATATAGGGTCCATGGTACCGCGTCCTGGTTGGAAGCTGTACTGGGAGTCCGATATTGTACACTCCCTATCGGATCCTGGTGTCAATAATGCGCTCGAAGAGCTTCATGGTGTGTGACGTCACCTTTATACCGCGGTAATTACCACTCACGCAATCCTGAACGGACCCTTTACACTTGTGGATCGACGTTATTATACTAAGCCGCTGCTGATCGGGCATCATTCGGTCGCTCAGGATTCTGTTATAAAGGTTAGTAAGAATGCACACACCACGAGCCCCCAGCGCTTTCCACGCTTCAATTGGCACCTCGTCCGGTCCTACAGCTTTCCGATTCTCCATGTGACGAAGAGATGCGAGGACCTCGTCAGGCCTAATCGGTGGCACGAGTCCATGGTTCGGGAGTTGTTCGGGAGGGTGCACTTCCCGGTGCTGAGTATTCAGCAAAAAGTGAAAATAAGAGCGCCATCTCTCCTTCACCGCACCATCATTGTACAGGAACTCGCCATTAGGGCCATTGACGCTGCTGCAGCGAGTAATGTCTTGCGCTGCGTTGGCCCTAGAGCGCGCCAGTTTATATATGAGCTTGTGCCCCTCAGGAGTGTCCAACTTAGCATACAATGGTTGCAAGGGTCACGCCTGGCTCTGGCTACAGCTCTTTTCGCTGTCTTGTAAGATACGTGATCTACAGGAGATTTGGTCGCTTGCCACATCTTGAAGAGCGCTTTCTTCTCCCTTTATGAACCCTGGACTGTGGCGTCCCACCACCAGGTCTCCTTGTCGATTTTGCGACCCCCTTTCGCCACGCCGAGGACTTTCTTTGCCGTCTTTGTGATTGCTGTCTGAATAGTTTTCCAGCACTCTTGGACGGACTTGCCTGCTGTGTCAAGACTAATATCCCCAGCGGCAGAGTCAAACTCTGAGTATCTGGTTTGATCCAGCAGCCACCAATTGATTTGACGGCGGCAATGTTAGGCGTGTCTACGACGGGGTTTTACGCAGAGGTCCATGACAAGAAGTCGGTGTTGGGCAATGAGACATTTACCGGGTATGACCTTACAGTTGGCCACGCGACTGATATGACTTCTCCTGGTCAGTAAATAGTCGATTTGAGTGGCGTTCCGACCGCTCCTGTAGGTAATCAGGTGCTCGGTTTTCTTTTTTGAAGAACGTGTTCACCACGGTCAGGTCAGCTGCAGTGCAGGTTCTGAGAATGGCTTCCCCCTCTGCGTTTCTTCGGCCGTAACCATAGCCGCCGTGGACACGTTCATACTTCCCCTGCACCTCGCCCACATGACCGTTCAGGTCGCCACCAAAAAGACATCGTGGGACAACGGTATGCCGTATAGTACATCTCCGAGCCGATCCTAAAACAGCGTCCTATCGCTGTGGGGCGTAGACACTTATTAAGTGGGTCACGACCACCTCAATAAGCAACCTTACTACCATAAGTCAGTCGCATATGCGTCTAACTTCAAAGAAGCTATCGTGGAAATGCTCGGCGAGCACCACTTCCACACCATTCTCCCCCCAGAAGAGCCTGTATAGATCAGCTTGTAGCCGTGCCCAATATTCCGGCTCCTGTTGGCCTTCCACCGTGTCTCCTGCAGGAACGCCACTGCCACTTTACGCCTGGCAAGTATGGCCGCAAGTTCTTTGGAGCGTCCCGTAAGCGTGCCAATGTTCCAGCTTGCAAAGCGAATCTTCGTAGTTGGTGCTAACGTCTTTAGCCAGGCTCGCACGGGGCCCGGTAGCCCTGGCATACTTGTTGCAGGGTTAAGGGGATCCCCATGCGCGTCGTTATGCGGCGACGCCCTAGTCCTAAACGTATATATCTTTCTTTTACTTTCCATTTTTGAGTGGCTTAGTGCCAATTACCGGGGCGACTGCCGTCTGACCCCCGAACCCCTAGGAAGAATCCCAGAGGAGTGGCATCGCCAGAGCCCTTTCCGTTGTCCAACAGGTGCACCACGTGCAGGCGGGGTTGGCTTGGGCTCCAAGATCTTAGCGGAGCCCCTTACACCCTATAAAATATAAAAACAACGAAAGTAATGATAATGAATGCTTTCACTTACTTTATACGTCTCATTGCTCATATTTCTGAGAGGATTATAGAGCAATTGTCCACCGTGACGCCCGTTCTAGGACTTTACACAATTTCTTTGATATATTGTTTTTCTAAGACACGGAGATTTATTTATAATGTTATCCTTCGTCTCCAAGCACGTGGCAAAGAGCTCTTTAAAAATTATAATAATAAAAAAATAATTTAAAAAATTATTGCAATTAACATTTTTTTGGTGCTGGCGAGGATCGAATCGTGATATTTTCAGTGAACGCTTCGTCTGAGAGCTACGTCAACTTTGATATGAACCATAATAAGTAACAACCTTTTTAAAATAAAAAAAGGAATCCAATATAGGAAAACCAACATTATACTTTACAATATATTTATTTTATAAACATGTGTTTCTTTCATTAGGGCCATTTAGCACAACTCCTGAAATGCCGACCGCAGCCGACATACAACTCGCTGCAGCTATTGGCTCTGAAGGCGAGAAATATTATATATGGATAAGCATAAACCTTTAATATAAGAACGTACGCGTTTGTGTGCGTGCTTGAGCGAGACAAACGTATCGAAAGTAAGAATTTTAGTTTTAGTGTAGTATACTCAAATTTTCAACTTCAATTTATAAATACAAAAGGGACTTTATAAACTTTTGCAGGTCCCTTAGCTATCCATTTTTTTACATTTACATTTCTTTATTTTATCTAGTACTAAAGCAGCTATGTATTTTGGATGTCAAAGACGGTACTGGTCGTTGTGCCGAGTGTTTAGCGACCTTTTATTATCTGAAAAAAAGAAACGCTTATTGATTTTATTTTACTTCACATTATTAGTAAAAACGGAAATAAAACAGGGGATGCCCCCCGTAAATTACATTCCCGGTAAAGACGAAATAATAGAAACTGCGGCTGATAACCCGCCTGCAAAGTGTGTTAACTATGATGAATATCTCCTTTAGGGGGAGGACTTTATTCAGCAGTGGATTTTGATAGTATATGATGAATGAAATATTTTACTATTATTCTCATAGTTAAAAAAACATTTTAGTTGTATTGGAACAACACATAAGCTAACAGTCCATTTTATTTCAATTGGCTTTGCCATCCCACTGACACCTGCAATTACTCAGCACTTAAGCAAAAAAGACCACACGTGCTTTGTTCTCGAAGGCTAAGAAGGATAGAAAATGTCTTGCAGTCTGAAACCGTGTTTGTTTTTTAACCCAGAATATTCACACCAAAACAGATCAATGGATTTTGTATAATTTAATAGAATTTTTTTTTTATTACAAAAATGAAGTGACAAATGGTTTTACAATCCATCTGATGGTAAATGGCTATTACTGCTAATGGAAAGCAGTCTACAGATACGGTATCTCGCTACTAACGGCGCCTCTACACGTTGGTCAACACAGTGGCGAATGTAGTGGCCAATAGCATTGGCCAACGTGTAGACGGGGTGTTTGGGCTTCATTGGTATGTATTGGAACGATGGCCCGCAAGTTGGCGCGAGATCCGTGTGGTGTCGGTTTTTTACAAAAGATCAAAGGATTGTTGGCGGAGTTTGGTCGCCGCGTCCACACGTTGGCCGCGCGTTTAGTTTGCTACAAGCTCCCAGAGTGATTACACGCATCTGATTTAAATTTTATATTCAAGCATTGTAGGGTGGATGCCCCAATTACCAGCCTTCTAGTGCCAATTTCAACTTTAAACATTCCTACTACTTTAATTAGCGCGATTTAATTATTATTGAACATTTGTTTTAATCAATAAGCTATTTATCAAAAAAAATAAAATTTTTTTACAATCAGATTAATTCGAGAACAATTTTAAAATGAAAAAAATGAAGCATGTCGTTTATACGTGGTAGAACCATGCAATTATATTAGAAGTATAGTTGCAGCACGAAGGTCGGCTCGACCGGGGAAGGACCACGCTCTCACAGAATATTAGCGTAAAATAGTAGCTTAATGATGCTGTGTTTCGTATAGTGAGTGTAGAGAACCAGAGACCCTTTTTAAAGGAAACGAGGCATTTCATCTTAGTCCACACGGGGGACAACGCGTCTGCATTTTGATTCGTAATCAAGGATAGATGTAGATGTCTATGGGCCACAGTAACCACTTAGCATCAGGTGAACTGTGAGCTCGTTTGTCACACTATCCTATAAAAAAAAAACGTCGATTTCTTATAATTTAATCATGCAAGTTTTCGAATCGTCATCATCATTGCAGCTCTTCACAATTCCACTACTGAACATCCTCCTCCACAGACTGCCGCAAAGCATGGTCCTGAGCCACTTTGCTCGTCATGAGTTTTTTATTTATGTTCTAATTTATAATTAGTACCTATTATTAAGTCAGTATTAATTATATTTATTGCTATTGTTTTTGTCTTTTTAAAAAATAATTAAATTACCAAATAAATTATAAGGTGTTTTTTATATACATCAAATGTCTGATAGAAATGCAAGTACATATTTTGCTAAACTTTAAAATCAAAACCCAATTTTAAAACATAAACTAATCGATTATAACTCCTTTAACTTTAAAATAAGTTAAGTTCTTATTAATTGTATTTATTCCGGTTTATGATGCATGTAAAGAATAAATAAAGCTAATCCTATATCGTATATCTATTTACAGCCCCATTATTTTATAATTCTTTTATAAAAACGTTAACCCCACACTAGAATTTTCTCCCGTATCACGCAGGCAGTTTACAAACATAAATTGCACAAGGACACACATCCAGACCCGAAACAATTATTTGTAGGAGATACAAATACTTGTTCCGTGCGCGATCAAACCCGCGGCGCCCGGCGCAGCCACTCATTGCTGATCCACTGCGCCACGGTGCTTATAAATTCGTCCGCACATTGGCCCGAACCGAAGTAAACTGAACGACCTTCCAACGTGTGGACGCCGTCACCAACTCTCGGCCAATATATTCGCCACTGTGTTGGCCAACGTGTAGAGGCGACATAAGACAGAATGCTCAATAGCGTGTGTACCGGCCCGCTACACCCTGCACGATATTATGTAAGTAGTGCTGTTTAACGGCAGAAAGGGAGGAATTGTAGGAAGGAAAGCAATTAAACCACCTAGAATGAACATTGTCAGAAATTAGAAAACCACAGGCCCAGTTATACAAATTTATCTATAAACGTGTTCGCTCTTACTTTTTTATATTTTCATCACTACATTTATTTGTTTATTTTTTTATTATCTAAGTACCTATAGAGAAGAAGTAGGTATATTAATTATTTTCTG